CAAACAGCAAGCATCGGGTGAGTTTTGTTTAGATATGGACTCTGAGATGATGACTCATCTCCAGGACGACGCTGTGGTTCTTCATAAGATTTTACCTCCGGTTTCTGAATCTCCTTCTGCTATTATGAATCGGGTCTCTTTCGACCCGAACCCACTAGGGCCAAGTGAGTCAGTGAGGAGGAGAAGGGATTTTAAAGATTCTTCTCCAACTAAAGAAAGTAATGGTGGTAGTGATGATGGTGAGATTTTGAAGTGTAGTTCTAGAAACCACAGGTCTTTTTCGAGTAATCCTTCGTTTAAGAGGAAGTCTACTTTGTTGAAGGACAGGCCAAAGTCTAGATTGATGGATCCGCCACCGCAGCCGCCGGAGAAGTCGGGAAGAGTGGCAGTTGGGAGGTCGGGACAGTTAAAGTCTGGATTTTTAGGGAAAGGGAGTGTTGTTGATGAAGAGGAAGATGACCCTTTACTGGAAGAGGATTTGCCCGAAGAGTATAAAAAAGATAGGGTTGATATTTGGATTTTACTTGAATGGGTGAGTTTGATTGTTATTATTGCTGCTTTAGTTTGTAGTCTTGCAATTCCATATTTGAGAGGGAGGGATTTTTGGAGACTTAGGTTGTGGAAATGGGAAGTTTTAGTTTTAGTTTTGATTTGTGGGAGGTTGGTTTCAGGTTGGGTTATTAGGATCATCGTGTTTTTCATTGAGAGAAACTTTCTCTTGCGGAAACGGGTTTTGTATTTTGTTTATGGAGTTAGGAAAGCTGTGCAAAATTGTTTGTGGTTAGGGCTTGTTTTGATTGCCTGGCACTGCTTGTTTGACAAGAAAGTTGAGAGGGAAACTCGGAGTGACAAACTAAGATATGTGACTAAGGTTCTGGTGTGTTTAGTGGTGGGTACCTTGTTGTGGTTGGTGAAGACCTTAGTGGTTAAAGTTCTTGCATCTTCATTTCATGTGAGCACTTACTTTGATCGGATCCAGGAGTCCTTGTTTAATCAATATGTGATTGAAACCCTATCTGGTCCCCCATTGGTTGAAATGAGAAGGAATGAGGAAGAGGAAGAGAGACTTCAGGCAGAAGTACAAAAGTTGCAGAATGCAGGTGCCACGGTGCCCCCTGGCCTTAAGGCAACAGCGAGACTTTCACCACCACAGAGTGCAAAGGTTATAGGAAGTGGAAGGCTCCAGAAAAGCCCTCGAATAGGTACCCCCAAGCTCTCTCGTTCTCTTTCTAACAAAATTGACGAGGATGATGAGGGTATAACGATCGACCACTTGCACAAATTGAATCCTAAGAATGTTTCTGCTTGGAATATGAAGAGGCTGATGAATATAATTCGACATGGAGCTCTGTCCACACTGGATGAGCAGATACAAAATTCTAATGACGGTGATGAAGAGTCTGCTACAAAGATTAGAAGTGAAATTGAAGCAAAGGCTGCAGCAAGGAAAATATTCCAGAATGTGGCTAGGCCAGGGTCTCGGTAAGTTTTTGTTTCCACCCACTTTTATTGTTTTGAATCCTATGTTAAATTGTATTTAGGCTCTAATTTTATCTGCATTTACTATATAGCTGTTTATTTGATTTAATCTACAAGCAGCCTATTGTAGCATCTGACTTGCTCCGTGACTCTTCTTGTTGCATAATGTGGTACTGATTATATCAAATTTAACTGATTTCCAAATTTGGTTATGCTCTGTTTCATGATGCCATAAAATGTCTCCTGTAAAAAAAAAATTGTCCATTGAATGTCTTCTAGGACAAGAATCATTGAAGATATTCATTCCATGTCTGTAACTTGATCTATGTTTATGATGCCAGTATCATAGTCATCTTGTGATGATCCTCTGTCATTGTTTTATCATGCAGGTATATCTACTTGGATGACATCACTCGTTTCATGCGAGATGATGAGGCTGCAAAGACCATGAGCCTCTTTGAGGGAGCATCTGAAAGCAATAAAATCAGCAAAAAATGTTTGAAAAACTGGGTGGTAAGAACCAATTAACATTATTATACCATTTACCTTTTTTCCCTCCTCATTTCTCCTTTCTGGCAGATTTTTCATTTTTAGTTCTAGAATTTTGTTATGCTTGCTGAGTTGTGTAGGAGATGCAAATGAACTCATACCCAATGAACATTATAGGATTGGACTGGAAATCTTTTAGCAATTTATAGGTCTATAACCATTTCAAAATTTGAACATTAAAGTCTAAGCTATAAAATATGAAATCTCCATGATTTTTTTTGGATGCTTGCCTTTGATAAAATGTCAAAATTTAACAGTTCTATGTACTTCTCTTATAAAAACCTACCTCAAACATTGATTTTCAAGAGGGGTTGCTTTATCATCTCCAGTATAGACATAACCGTTTGCTTTTCAATGGGATGATCTCCTTTCTTCAATGAGGATTTCTTTTCACAGATTATGAAAAAAAGGAAACCTGCTTTGCAGATTCATATTTGATGGCATATCTGCAAAGTTCTTCTGCTTCCATAAATTTTCAGACATGAGATTGTGATTTTCTATTCTATGATCATATGAGAAGGCACTTACTTGATTGTCTCAGGTTAATGCTTTCAGAGAACGGAGAGCACTTGCTTTGACACTGAATGACACAAAAACAGCTGTTAACAAACTGCATCGTATGGTGGACATTTTGGTTGGGATTGTTATAGCAGTAATTTGGCTTCTTATACTAGGAATTGCTACTAGCAAGTTTCTCCTCTTTCTAAGTTCACAACTTCTCCTTGTGGCATTCATATTTGGAAACACCTGCAAAACTGTGTTTGAGTCTATTATTTTCTTGTTTGTAATCCATCCATTTGATGTGGGCGATCGCTGTGAAATTGATGGAGTTCAGGTATGTAAGCTAATGCATTTGAACTGTATCACAGTTTCATGGATTTAACATGATAGAAGTTTTGGCTTCTTTTTTTTATGGGCCTAATTGGTTTTTCTACAAATTTCAGATGGTGGTTGAAGAGATGAACATTTTAACTACTGTCTTTTTAAGATTTGACAACCAGAAGATAATAATTACAAACAGTGTTCTTGCTACCAAAGCCATTGGTAACTACTACCGCAGCCCAGATATGGGAGATGCAGTTGAGTTCCTCATCCACCTAGCTACTCCAGCTGAAAAGATTGTCATCGTGAAACAAAGAATAAACAGGTAACCATAGAAAGATTGGATAAACCTTCTTTTCCCATCTCAAATTCTCTTTACTGAAATCATAATGGTACTTTATAATTGATTTTACAACATTTTGCTCCGTTTAAGAGTGTTCATTGAAGCTGAAATCACATTCATAAAGTTACATTCCAAATAAATCTCACTATACAGCATGAAAACCTTGGCAGAAAATAATCTCAAGTCTTTCTTTCTTGGATCCACATGTGGAGCCTGCAAATTCAATTGCTGTGATTCTTTTAGGTTGCAGTTTTCGTTCCAATTGCACTTGCCCCTTGTAAATTTATGTCTTTGGGAAATTTAAATTCAATATTATGGTCATTTGAATGTGTTTGTACAGACAGATCTTAGCCATCAAAATTTTACCTTGGGTTGATTGACCGACTGGGCTCTAGAACTTGATCTAGTTGTTATTGCTTTGAGATGGAAAACAGCAGATACTGTGAAAATACATGCACGATTGTGCGTGTTCATATTGCGAGCATCTTCTTTTTTTTTGAGTGCTCATGTCTTGTAAGATTCTTTTTCCACCTAGTGGTTGTTCTGTCGTTCGTTTATTACAGGTATGCATCAAGTTAGATATTTTTTTGTGTAATCGATCATCTATGCTAAGAATTACTTTGCATCTGCCACTGCAGCTATATTGAGAACAAAAAGGACCACTGGTATCCTTCCCCTATGATTATATTCAAGGAGGCAGAAGACTTGACCAGGGTACGGATAGCAGTTTGGTTGACTCACAGGATGAACCACCAAGACATGGGAGAGAGGTTTGTAAGAAGATCTCTCTTGCTGGATGAAATGATGAGAATTTTCAGGGAGCTCGACATGCAATATCGCCTGCTTCCTCTTGACATCAATGTTCGTGCCTTGCCACCTGTCACCTCTGACCGCCTTCCTGCCAATTGGACCAGCTGAAGGATGAAACAAAGAAAGCAGATATCGTACATTCACTGGCCACTTATATCTCCTTTTGAAAACAGTCCCCAGTAAAATGAAATTGTCGGCTCTAGTATTTATCCTGGAGGATGAGCAGACTATATAGTACACGAACTGTTTAGATTTTAGATTTCTTATTATTATATAATCAGGATGAGAAGAGAATATGGTGATTTTGCTGCTCATTAGATGAGATCGTATATAAGTTGATTGATCATCTGTAGCCACTTAGCACCACGTCATAGAAATTTTATTTAATAGTATAAGGTTTAAATTAAAATAGTTTTTTAATATAATATTAGAGGTTTAATAACATTGATGAATTTAAAATTTAATATTTTTATTTATTTAATAAAAATTAAAAATAATATAATATAATAACATTGAAGACTTTTCTTTTGAAGGAATGGATTAAAAAATAATATTTTTAAAATTTTATTTGAAAATCTTTTGAGTTTGAAAATTATATAAACTTATTATTTTATATCTAATTTTTATTAAATAAATAAAAATATTAAAATTTAAACATTCAATCACTACCATACAAAAAAAGTAATTTAAAATTATTAAATAAAATTTTAAAATAAAATTTATAATATTTTTTATCATTTAAATTCATATTCCTGTTTGAGAATTCTTACATTAAGAAGCAACAACGTGCAAATGGGCCCGCATGCTGCAACACAGGACTTCACTGGCCGAACTCCTAGAGATGACGAATATAACACCGCAAAGCCAAGCTGATCTTTGCCACATGAAGTCATCAAGCAAAACGGGAAGGCGGGGCTATGCCTCTGGTGTAATGATACCCAGCAGCATCAAGTAGATAATAAAAGAGTTGAAAAGGAAAGCAACATTACTTCGCTTAAAGACAAACAGCTTTTCAACCTTTTAATTAGGTCATGTACATGGAAACAGACATCAGGTAACATCATTAAAGATGTCTGATTTCCATGAAAAGTAAAGATCAAACAACCTTCTCAAGTTTTACAAAAGTTCTAATAATAACCACTCAGCACGCTTCCATCTTCGGATTCAGAAATTTTTCGTGAAACATGGATTTCCATCACGTTATTGAGGTATTTCTTGACCACCTTACTGAATCTTACAGATATCAATGTCTCAGGTGAATGAATTATTGACTCAAGCACTAACGCCTTTTATCTTACAAGCTCCAAAGTAGCAGCAGTGGAATGGAGGAGCTCTGATGTCAGGAGAAAGCTACACAAATGAAGATTTCATTAAAAACATTCCAACAGACCCTCGGGCATCCCACTTGATGATGAAGCTGACAAAGAGTAGTCTAAAGGTGCCGCTGCCGTTTGGAAACAGTGCCACGCTGTTCACTGTAATGACAGTTCTGCACCACTGAGCAACATATATCAGGCACAAAAATTGCTGTCTCAGAATGATTATGAAAACTTTTTGGCCAGTATAGCCCTGAGGCTGTAGGTGGGGAAGGCATTTGGGGTACTGCCCTGGAGCTATCTGGCACCTGACCCAAGCATTCTTCATCATCCACCTCTTCTTCAGTAGACCTTAAAATGGCAGAGCTGTCAGAATCTCCACGTTTGCCACTATCAGCCTGACTAGTAAGAAAGAAGCCGAAATTACAAATAGTATAGAACATCAAGGAGGCCAGTCACAAGCCGTTTCTAACAGCAAATTCATTAGGAAGTAATTCTGAAAAACAGCAGTATAATAAGTTCAGAAAAATCCACTGGCGCACACGTTTCTGTGACAAACACAATGTTTGAAAATACCACAACTGACACAAAACCAATGTGAATCAGATACAGAATCCAATTTTAACATTGGATGGGAAAAATGTTACACGCAAATAAACAAACAATACATGTTTACTAACACATTTCACAGGTGTTCAGTTGCTCTTAAGAGTCGACAAAGGTCAATATGTAACACACATCAAGGAAACAAGGGACCATCTAGCTAATTTGATAATTGTTAAGCGGTGTCCAGATTACACAATCATAATCAAGAAAATGCACGTCTGTGGATGAGAGAGGGAGGAGGTGGGGTTCGAGGATTTAGTCATTTCTGTTTTTCCATCATGTCAGATACTTTTTCTCAGTCATTATTCTACAATCTCTCTGAATCAGTGGATAAGAACTTGGCATGTAATCAACGGAACTTAGCATTTCTCTCACACACGTGGCATGGATAATACTGAAAGATCCCTGCCTTATTATTTGGAAAGTGCTTGAGCTAAAACTCGGAAATTTTGAATGCAAGTGCAGGTATGGAGAAAAAAGAGGGAAAAAAAAGCTTGGAGCCGCAAAAGTAATTTACTTCCTTCAGATGGCCCTGCTTATAACAACAATACAGCCAAAATCAATGTTATTACAAGGGCAGGCAATTTTTGGTAAAAGGCGAGCCTAAGATCCCTGATTCCTGGTAAACAAACTTTGGTAAGAACCTCTGGAAGAATGGCCCTTCTTGTTGCAATTGTACTAAAACAAGCCACAGTTATTAATTACGTGAAAATATGTAGTCTAATTGGAAGAACCTTCAGATGTACATTCCTACCATCAAAACATGAATTAACTCAAACTCAACTGCACCATTAATGGATCCCGTCTAGTTAACTTAAGATCTTACCCTCAAACAGTAAATCTACGTTTGATTAAACTACAAGCATACCTTAGATGATCCCTTATGCATGCAACCATAATTCTCATTAAATTAAGCCAATTCAAGAAACTCATCTAGCCTTAATAGGTATATTATAAGTAATCTAATTCATGTTCTCCTAGTTGGGATGTAATGTAAATCTCAACAAGCTGAACATGAATTAGGTCATGATCAGCCCCTGTTTGCCTTGTGAATCTTTAAGCGTACCTTAGAAGATCCATTATCAATATAGCCATAATTTTGATTAAACTCAGGCAGCTCGAGAAATTCATCTATTTGCCACTGTGAAATGCTGGAAGTTGCTGAACCTCCAGAATAGGGCAGCTTAGCAGGCCCAAAGTCTCCAACTCCACAGACATTCACAGGCGAAACTTGATTGCAAGGATTGGCCAAAGGCAATAAGGTGCCTCTTCTAGAAACAGGGCATGAATTTGTTTCCGAGGTTTTCTTTTCCCCTGAAGGTGACTTTCTTGAGGAAGAGGTTGCACCAAGACCAGTAGGTTCTAGACCTACCTTCACTCCAGTGAGCAGAAATCTCTGATGTACAGACACATGGGTATTTGCTGTGTGTATGGCAACATCACATTTCCTGCAGAGCAATGCTCTGTCTTCTAGACAAAAGAAAAAACCAGCAGTCTCCTGTAATAAGCAACGGATTCACCAGTTAGTAAACAACAAGAAATGAAAAAAAGTATAAATTCATAGCCAACAAACTCAGCTCTAGCAAGTAGGGCCAGTGGTAGAGGGCTTATTGAATTATTTGGGGTGCCAAGTTAAAAATATCATGAGGCTTTAGGAATACGACGTAATATTTTGAAAATGTTTTTTTGGGGGATGAGGGCTCAACCATTTCCCCGAGTAGAGCAATAACTCCTCACATTTTTAGAACCATTGAAAAGAACATGGTGCTATAAGAAACTGGAAAGCTTGAACCTACAAAGCATATTTTGAAAATGTTTTTTTGGGGGATGAGGGCTCAACCATTTCCCCGAGTAGAGCAATAACTCACATTTTTAAAACCATTGAAAAGAACATGGTGCTATAAGAAACTGGAGAGCTAGAACCTACAAAGCATGGATTCTGTTTAATACAAGTATATGTCACTATTGCGAAATGAAAAAATCTGGTAATGAAAATGACAAAGAAATTTAGAATTATGCATTTAACTATTTTTATGTTACTAACCTTTTCACCATTCAAGAATAGATGAGTTACACGTCAAAACTGAAAGTAAAATCGGAAAACTGCCACCAAAGAGCAAATTGTACATTTCAAGGAAGGAACTTGATAGTTTTGAGGAATTAGATATCTGAAAGGAAAGCACGTGTTTCGAACAACCTAAGCCATAGAAAAGAATGAATTTGCTCTTTGATGGCAAGCGAATCAGACAAGCAAATCAACAGGTCATCTTTTTGGCTCTTGAGTAACATTACATACTAGGCAGTTTACTTTACTATGAACCTTATATACTCTTCTACGTGGGAAAATGCTACGCAAGCTGGCTGCATGAGGCATAACTAGCAGATATATACAACTTGTTGCCAAACCAAAGAACGCTCTCTTCTTCCCCTTTCTTCTTGATTGTCTTGGTTTACCTTTTTCGCTCAAAATATTTGTCAAATCCAGTCTTCCTTAACATTAATTTACCTCAAACGTGGCCTTGAAAAACCAGCAGTTATCACTCCTATTCACATCTAACTATCATACTCTGCTCAATCCAGATAGAGACTATATTAAATTCCCCAGGATACAAAAAGAAACTGTGAATGTTTTGACAATAGCTTCTGTAAGAATACAAGAAACCAACCTAGTTTCTTCAATTTAACAGCTGAGGTTCAGAGCTGGGAGTTGTTTATTTATTCACTCGTTTGGAAGGGGAATGCTTTGCTTACGTAATTCCAAGGAAAGAGAAGCTAATCCCATTACCCTCAACTTATAGGTTGGATACTAAACAATAACTTTATGACCCCGAGTCATTAAAAAGATATCAGAGACCGTGATATCACACTAAACCCAGAATCATGTTGAGTCCGCAGTTAATTAAAATTATAAAAAGGAGATGTAGGCCTACATTCATCCTAATTACTAATAACTAATTCAGTAAGAACAAGTTTAAATCTTTTCCCTCCCAGTTAACAAACTACAAAACAAAATCTAAAAACATTCTCCAGAAGCTAATAACCACAACTAGTACATGTACATCAAATCCAAAATCTTATTACTAATAGAAAGTCAAAAAAATCATCAAGTTAAAAATAAATTAAACAGGTGGAAAAATAAAATAATTACCTGACAAATATCACATTTAGGCATCTGAGGAGAAGAAGTAGAAAGTGGAACCCTCTGATGCTTACTAGCAAGCTTGTTAGCTGCATGAACCTTCTCGTCACATGTCCAACACAAAGCCGCCTCGTCCGCACAACACAGCACGTTCGCTTCCGCGGCCTCACAGACGTTGCACTGTATCTTCATCTTCCCCAGCTATCTCCCCCTCTTTCCAATTTTCTCTAAGAACTCCCGATCTTCTTAGGATTTCTCTGTTTCACTATCTCCACAAAAAAAAAAAAAAAAATACCCACACGCAACCACAATAGTTTCTCTTCTTCTAAAACCTCAAACTTCTCTCTCTCTCTGAAAATCCTATCTTTCTCTCTCTTCTTTCTGAAAAAAATAGAAAAAAGAACCCTCTCTTTTGCCTTTTCAAACCTCGAATCTGACCTTTCTGCCTTAAAGTGAAACCCAGTTCGTGTCCCCCCTCTCTCTCTCTGCAAGGAGAACCTCAATCCAATATCTCTCTCCCAAGAGCAGGAAATTTCTTTTCAAAAAGATAGAATATAAAGATATTTTTGTAGAGAGGCTTGAGAGTGAAGAAATAAAGGTAGACGAGAGATCTTTTGGGAGAAAAGAAGAGGATGAAATGGAGCCACAAGAGCTGACTTGTACAGTTAGGAGGTGGGACACGTAAAGAAGGAAGCAGGTGAGCGAGGCAGTGACTCCCTCAAAGTTTGAACCTTTGGGCTGGGCGATATTTTTAGCGGCGGATATCAATTTTTATTTGTTGATGTACACGTGGCAGATTTTCGATTGTGTCCAATTAAATGGAGACCAGTTTCGCTGTCTTGGGCTGTACTGTAATAAGAGAGAGTGCGGGAAGCCACAGGATAAAATTGAGAAAACCGATGTCTAGAGAGTGTTTGCACGCGCCCATCTACTCTTTGTTCTTGCCTGAATATTTTACTGTCCTTTCATGTTTCACGGGGCCTTCTGTGATAATTCACTCTAAGGTTTTATTGGATCCAAACTATAATCAGACAGGTTGTACGACATTCGTCACAGACAGACTGGATTGATTTTTATTTTTTTTTGTACATGAAAAATGGTCGGTTATATGATAGTAAATGAATCGATTATAAAAAGAAAAAGTGACAATGATAATAAGAAGGAGAAACATTACTTGCCAAAATTTATCCTTCATTCAAATCTATTATAACAAAAAAAATCAACATAAAAAAATAAAAATATCATTGATTTTTTTATTTTACTTTTAAAAATGATCTAATCATTTAATTATGCTATGAAAATAACTAAATTACGATGAATCTTAAACGTAAACTAATTTTTTAAAATTATAATTTATAAAATTTTAGATTTGAATTTAAGAGGCTTAGTTTCTAACAAATTTAATATTAAATGATAAGATAAAAAAATAACAATGAAAATAAAAAAATCAAACCGGATAAGAAAAAAATAAAGAAAAAAAATTGTAAAAAAAATTAATTTGAAAAATAATATCAAATAAAAAAATAAAAAAATAAAAAATAATGATTAAATCTGACTTATAAAAAAATTATAGAAGGAAGAACAAATTGAAATGATAAAATTGAAAAAAAAAATTAAAAGTTATTTCAAGTAAAAAATGCTACTTAATAAAATAAAAATCAAATTTAAAAAAATTGAAAAGTTATTTTAAAAATTTAATGGCTCAATGAAAAATTTAAGAAAGAGAGGGAAAAAACAAATAATAATATCAAACTAAAGGTGATTAAATCACACATATTGTCTAAAAATGAAAAGGTCACTAGAACAATTAAAAACTACATTTAAAGTTATTATTTAACCACCAAATACTATAATACACATTGCTAGAAGACCGTGGGATCTTCCTACTGCCTCCCCTCCTTTTATAAAAATATTAATAATATTATGTATTTAATAAAATATTTAATTGTCCCCAATCAAAATAATTATAATAAAAAAATTAGAATAAAATATAAAAGATACATGTGGAGCCAATATTTGTTTTTGCTTTTATAAATAAGGAGTCATTTTAATGTGAAAAAAATTAAAAAGATAAAAAACCCTTGAACAAAAGCTATATATTTTATTTTTATTTTTAAATATAATAAAATCATTTCACTGTGTTAAAAAAATATGTACATACCAATTTGTCTCCAATTAATTTGGTAATGTAAAATTAATCCCTTGAAAACAATAGTATAAATTTTTATGTATATGAAAAAAATAAACCTAATAATGTAAATAAACAATTATTTTAATCTCTTTTTGTGACTTAATTGGATTTAGATAGTTTCATTAAAAAACCATGTCATTTAAAGGAAATTATTGAACATTCCAACAACACAATCCCATGTCATTTTGATGCAACGGAGAAAGTATTGCTCTCATTATACCTTTTGATGCATCCAAGTCGAGGCCAATCCCTTCCTCACTAAAGTTTGTTTCTTTTATATAAGCCAAATTTAATTAAAAAACTAAAACATCCAATTAATTAGGGATACCTACCCCAAAATGAGTGTGAAATGCAAAATTTACAATTATGAAATCTTTGTAAGTAATCGTACTAAGTTTTTAAGTATTCAATTTGTATAATTTTTTCTATTTAATTTTAGATTTTTTGTTTTTGTTTTTGTTTTTGACAAAAAGAATTTTTTTATTCAATAATATTTTCATAGAAAAAAAGCACCTAACCTCACTAGGATGCTTGAATTAGTTGGATTTATATTAAAGTTATTGAAAGATAAAAGGTTAAACATTATCTTTTTCTTATTTTTTTTATTAGAATGAGTATTTAAGTTAGTTTGCTCATATTTCGACTAATTCCACGAATCCTAAAATTAATGGCCACATAAACCTCTAGTGATTTCAAAGTTTGTAAGACTTGAATTAGTGACATCTAGAGAGCAAATTTAGAACCTAATTAGTTTTTTTTCCTCAATTCTTACTTGATTCTTTGTCATGTCAATCTTAATTTGAGGCCCATCGAGCCTTGTTTCTATCTTACTCTAAGAATTTTAGACTTAATCTTGCGTACTCTAGACTCAAATTTATTTATTTTTATTTGAGAATTAATTTAATTTAAAAATTTAAATTATTAAGTAAGGTTTTAAGATATAATTTATATTTTTCTTTAACATATTTTTTTAAGTAAAAGTGTATTAGGTGGGATTCCAAGATATATTTTATATTATTTTTTAAAACATCTTCTTAAATAAAAACTTTTTGAACTTCAAATTTGCACAAACTCATACTACATTATGCTTAATTTTTTATCAAATAAATGTGAAGAATAAGATTCAAACTTTTAACCGTTTAATTTTTAAGACTCTGATATTATATAAAAAAATTAATTCAACTAAAAAATTTAAACTGTTGGGTAAGATTTTAAAATATATCTATTAGCATTTCAGGGCAAATGATTCTAGCCTACACTTGACATATATAACTACTAAATCTTATGCTAATATTGTAAAAATCAGTTTTGAGCTATTTTATTTTGTTCTTAAAATAAACAAGTTTTCATGTCTTGTTGTTTATTATTTTGAAAACAAATAAAAAAATGCCTCATTTTCTTTTTCCCTAGCTACTAAAGTTGTTGACGCTCAATAGAAGCAAAGTTTCAATGCAGGGTGTAATCTTTGTGTTGCAATGGAAATAAGAAAGCATACTCAAAATTATCACTGCTCCGGCTGGCCATATTTTTGCAATTTTTTTATTGATCGATGAAATTTGTTTAGAAAGGAGGATTTCATGAATGAAGCTTGTTAATAAGCTAGCAGCTAGACAACACGAAAGGGCAATAAAAATACAAGTTGTAGTTAAGCTATACATTATATTTTTATTGTGAAAAGATAAATTAAAAAGACAAAAAAACCTCTAGGAAAAAAACTATACATTATATTTTTATTTTTAAAAATAAAAGAAAGTATAATTTTTTTATATATCTATTACTCATTCACAAGAGAAAAAATAAACCTAACAACGTAAAAAAAAATTTATTCTATTATCTTTTTATGGCTTAATTGGGTGTAGATAGGTCCATTAAAAAACCATGTCATTTAAAGGAAATTATAGAACATTCCAATACCACAATTCTCCCACATGAGAATCACTATATTCGTGCATATCATCTTGATGCGAGGGAGAAAGTATTGCTCTCATAATACCTTTTGATGTCAAGCATCGAAGTCCAAGGCCAATCCCTTCTTCACTAAGTTTGTTTCTTTTCTATAAGCCAACATTAATTAAAAAACTAAAACATCCAATAAATTAATTAAGGATGCCTACCCCAAAATATAAGTGGGAAATGCAAAATTTACAATTATGAAAACCAAGTTTTTAAGTATTTGTTTTGCATAATTTCTTTTTATTTAATTTCAAATTTGTTGTTTTTGTTTTTGTTTTTATTTTTTTGAAAAAGAAAAAACTTTTTTGATTGAATAGTTTTTTCATAGAGAAAAAGCACATAATCTCATTAGATGCTTGAATTAGTTGGATTTATATTAAAGTTATTGAAAGATAAAGAGTACCACTCTATTTTTTACTTAATTTTTATTTTTTTTAGATTAATGTGGGTGTCCGGGTCAAATTGTGCGCACCACGACTAATTTTATGGGTTCTAAAGTTAACGGGGTCAAATTGTGCGCACCACGACTAATTTCATGGATTCTAAAGTTAACGACCATGTAAATCTCCAGTGGTTATCATATGAACAACCAAGAATTCGAATATAAAATTACAGAAAAAACAAATCTTTTAATCTTAAATTCTTACCACTTCACCACTATCTTGATGGTTTTTACTAAATTCTTACTATCCTTCACCATGTCTATCTTAATTTCATCATCCTTTTGTTCGTTGTCCACACAAGGTGCTCGGATCTTTTCCCAGTAAGTCATTTATTTTCTCTACCTTGTTCAAATAAAAGCTGGTATTTTAATGGTTTCATACAAGAACTTAACTTGTAACCTGCCATTCGGCATGCAGCAAAACGAGCTCTGCCTGACCCTGACTTGTTCTCGGCATCATTGATGCTTGTTCTTTTTAAGTTAATTTATTATTGATTCGACAACTTGCAGATTTCAACCCTGAAGACGATGAATAATATGTGGATTTGGTGGAGTTAGATGACGTTTTACTGTCGTTTGAACACTATTATGTGAATGAAACAATTATGCAAGATGTGTATTGCAAGGAAAGATTGAGTAATGAGAGGGAGGGGACAAAGGGCAATGATCTAGGAATGTTTTACAGCAAATAACCACCAGTCCAAGCTCAGGGAAACAAAAGAGATGGAATGTACTCGATTTAATGTCATTACCTTCTTTTATATCTCGCGAGTTTGGTGCTAGTACGAGATGGAATGATACATTGAACTTAGTCTCTATCTTACTCTAAAGTTCAAGAACTTTAACTTTAGACTTAATAAAGCGTTATCTCATCTAAATTTGTTCTTTTTTATTAAAAAATTAAATTAATTTTAAAATTTAAATTAGTAAATGAGATTTTAAGATAAATTTATATTATTTTTTAGCATAATCTTTTAAATAAAAATTCTTTAAACTTAAAATTTGTATAAACTTATACTATTTTATATATTAAATAAATAAGAATGATAAGATTTAAACTCATGGCTGTAAATAAGAATGAT